AGTGAATACCTGGACATTGTGGAATAAAAGGGAACGAGATGGCGGATTTCCACGCAAAGGCCGCATTAGTAAAGAAAATAGAAGTCAATAATAATCTAAATATGTCAGAAATGAAAAGTTTAATTATTACAGTTCCAAACTCCTTTGGCAAGAAAAGTGGAATAAAACCAACTCGTATTTGAAAACATTTCAAAAAGATGTAAATAAACAATATATATGTTCATTAGAGAGACAGCATGCAACAGTAATTCATCGCCTCCGCTTTGGAGTCATTGGACTTAATCAGGATACTGGTTTTTGTAATAGATGCCATGAAATAGAGACAGTAAAACACTCTTTAGTATATTGCCCTAACTATATTATAGAAAGGGCTATGTTTTTAACAGAAATAAACGAATCTCAACCGGAAAAAATAATGGAATACTTAAAAAAGAGTGAGTCCAGTATACAAAAAGCTGTTGTACGGTTCGTTCTCAGAACGAAACGGTTTTCTATCAGGAAGTATTACCTCCCTTGTATAGAGAACAACTAAACAGTAAAACATAATACAATATTATAAATATGCTAAATTACACCCAGTACATTAAACATATAATAACACAACGTAATAAGAAAAGAAAATAAGAACAGTAAAACATAATACAGTATTATAATATGCTAATTACACTCAGTACATTAAAAATATAATAACATAATGTAATAAGAAATAAAATAAGAACAGTAAAACATAATACAATATTATAAATATGCTAAATTACACCCAGTACATTAAACATATAATAACACAATGTAATAAGAAAATAAAATAAGAACAGTAAAACATAATACAATATTATAATATGCTAAATTACACTCAGTACATTAAAAATATAATAACATAATGTATAAGAAATAAGATAAGAACAGTAAAACATAATACAATATTATAAATATGCTAAATTACACTCAGTACATTAAAAATATAATAACATAATATTGGTCAGGGTCAATACGGTATCTTGCAAAAATCTTGGAAAAAGCAAATAACTTTCATGTTTCACCGAAACTACCCCTAATGAGGGCAACAATAAAATTGACCTCATTTTCAAGAAAGTACGCAATGTTTCTCATATAAAAAATAGAACAAAATACTTTCTTCAGTGTTTCGCTCCAAAATCTGTAAATGACTCATTTACTAAGTTATGAAAAATACTTCTTCTCAATCTGTTTAATTAACACTTTTGACAGTCTAAATTACCATCCAAACTATTAGCAAGGCTAATGAATAGGTATCTGCAAGCCTGCATGAACCTGAAAAATTGTTGCATGGAAATACAAAAATTTACATTTCGTGTCAAAAGATATCAGATGGATGTTCCATACCAGTTTGCTTCCTGTATACAAATATCATAAATATATCAACTTTTCTCTGCAAACTTTCTTTGCTGAATTTGCTAATAAATGGCAAATATCACTCAAAATCTCAACAACAAAAATGGTATTCAAAATGTACTAAACTTCGTACATAATTTCAAACTGTTAAATTTTGTTCTCAGTGTAAACTGTGCCAAAAGTCAATTCCCTTGTAACAAAAGCAAAAATTGAAAGTTGCACCGACTGTTATCATCTTACTTCTTAAAGCTGAAAAAAGTTGATTTTGAACAAGAACATAGAAAGTGAAAAAATTGTTATTCTGTGAATACTATAGACAGACATATTTCTGTTCAATCTACTCTTCGTATCCTTCTGCTGGATATAATACGACCACTTTGTTTATTGGCCTCCTATACTCAGAACTTGCCGTCTTTACTGTCACCTTTCTGATCTTATTATCAGTTCCAGGAAAAACTTCTATAATTCTCCCTAATGTCCATTTTCCTCGAAGAGCGTTCTGATCTGACAATATAACTATGTCATCTACACGGAGATTACGTCTGTCAACATTCCACTTCTTTCGACGATTCGTTGCACAAATTCGACTCTATGTCGCGGATTCTTCGTTTCTATGACGAACCCTGGGGTACCCTACTGGATGCTCTCCCTAACAAAACATAATTGGGACAGAGATAACTACCATCGTCGGGGTCATTCGGTACCCTCCCTATTGGACGCTGATTGACGCGGTTTGCTACTTATACCAAACAGGTATATAACTCAAAAGGAGTGAGGACCTGATCACCTATAGCTTTCTTTAATGCGGACTTACAACTCTTCACAAGTGCTTCAGCACATCCATTCTGATGAGGAGCTGAAGCGGTTGTAAACCTCCACTCTACACCTTTCTCCGCACAAAACTCGCGTAGTAGATCGCTATCCCATCCCTTTATCATCTCACGTAGCTCACGTACCGCTCCCACAAATTGTGTACCATTATCGCTCAGGATGACCTTCGGTTGACCTCTAAACGCGAAAAACCTACGCAGAACCTGAAGAAACTCCATTGTAGAGACATCTACCGCTAGGTCAAGGTGTACCGCTCTTTTGTTAAGACACGTGAAGATTACTCCATAGTACTTTAATAGCGACCTTATTCCGCCCCACCTTCACGCTGTACGGCCCAAAGTAGTCGCACGAAGTGTACAAGAATGGAGGCGAAAACGGTGTCATACGTATCTCTGGTAGCTCAGCCATAAACTGCGACTCGACCTTGTGCTGCATCTTACGACACATCACGCACCTGTGCTTGATAGTCTTGGCAAGCCTATGTATGCCAATCACCCAGTAGTTGCTTCTTACTTTCGCTGCCGTACGTTGTCGCAACTCCATCATGCCCCAGTTCGATCATGGACATGCTTAGTAGTGAGCGTAGAGATGCGATGCTGATGAGGTAATAACACAGGATGCCTGCTGTCATACGAAATCACTCCAACTCTACCTCCAACTCTGATGATTCCGTTCTCTATGTAGGGGGTTAGAGTCTTGAACTCCCCCTTCTTCAGTCTGTCATGAAGCGGTTTCTGAGCCTCTCTGACCCAGTACATCTCTGCATCACCTAGCTCAGCTGCTGTAAGTGGTCCTGCCGTCACTTTCCCTCTCTCATCTCCTGATCTTACCCTCGCCTTCATGTTGTGGGTAAATCTCTGTACATATGCAGTGACTCTCATCAGTTTTTACCAGCTGGAAACTCTTTCCCAGTCGATGCAGTCTGATGCCAATACTACACTCGACACCTATTGAACTTTACGCCTTTCACTGTCCATTGACGAATTCTCAGGTTTCATCTCACTCTGTGGCCACTCCTCTTCAGGCGATCTTAGAAATTGAGGACCACATCTACACCTCTCTAACTTCTCTGCTGTAACACCTCTCGAAATGTCGTCAGCTGGGTTTTCTGCTCCACTCACATGTCTCCACTGCTGGGGATTCGACTTGCTTTGGATTTCTCCTACTCTAGGCGACACAAAGGGCTTAAAACTTCTCGCCTGACTTCGAACCCATCCAAGCACTATCATGCTATCTGTCATGAACACTGTCTCTCTTAACTCTAGTGTGGTCTCATCGAGTCTAACAGCAACCACTGCAGCTTGGAGCTCCAATCTCGGCAGCGTCAACTTCTTTAGTGGTGCTACTCTAGATTTAGCCGTCACAAATCTAACATCATAGCTGCCATCCTCTAACTCCCAGCGAATGTAAACACACGCTCCAAAGGCCTCTTCAGATGCGTCACAAAAGACACATAATGTAGGTCGTCTCATTGCACCGGGTAGTGTCAAGCATCTCTGGAAGGACACTCCATCTAAGTTCTCCATCTCTCTGAAGAGTTTTACCCATTCTGCCTTTTCTCTGGAGGGTAGCTCTTCATCCCAATCTAAACCAAGCTGCCACAGGCGTTGCATTCCTATCGTTGCTTTCACCAGTAACGCTGAAGCAAATCCTATAGGATCAAAGATCTTTGCAATCTGGCTTAGTATCCGTCTCTTTGTCCATTTGCTGGTGGTGCCCTTCTGTTCGTCTGGAAGATCTGGGATCATACTTCTTTTTACTCTGTATGAAAACTCATCTGTGTTTTGGTTCCATACTATCTCCAGAACCTTCTCCTCACTGAGACTCTCAAGAACGTTGGTTTTCATCTGAGAAGTCTCATCTTTCAGCTGTTCGTTGGATTGCCAACCCTTCACCTTGAAGCCTCCCTCAGCTAGCACCTCATCTACGTCCTTGACAAGATCTTTCGCCTCCTCTGTCGTTCTTACTGAGGTACATATGTCGTCCATGTACGTGTCACGTTTCAGTACTTCTGCTGCCTTACTATGTTGAGACTCTCCCTCTACTGCTGTCCTCCTCAGAGCTATCTGGGCCATTGCTGCAGCAGGCTTATCTCCAAACGTGACTACGGTTTTCACGTAAACATCCGGTTCTCTCTCTGAATCTAATCCTCTCCACAAGTACCGATGGACGTGCTGATCGGATTCTGGAATCAGTACTCGGTGATACATCTTGGATATGTCGGCGCATATCGCAATTCTGTGTTCTCTGAAGCGAAGAAGTACTCCGAACAGACTCTGTAATAAGTCTTGCCCTTTGAACCAGTAGTCGTTCAGACACTGTCCCTTGAAAACTGCCGATGAGTTAAACACAATTCTCACTGGTGTGCTCTTCTTTTCCGGCCTGACAACCGCATGATGACCAATGTAATGGACAGGCCCATCATGCCTCTTCTTCTCTTCATCGGTCAGCTTTCTCGAAAACCCCATCTCGACCATCTCTTGCATCTGCTGTTTGTAAACTTCAGCATGCTCTGGGTTCTTTGCAAGCCTTTTCTATGTCGCCTGAAACATTCTCTCTGCTTGCACTCTGTTGTCTGGCAGCTTCTCTGGGTTATCCTTCCATGGGTAAGGAACAAGCCACTGCTTACCCACTTTCTTGGCAGAGTTCCAGATAAGATCATGTTCATCTTTCTCTACTTTAGTCATCCTTTCGGCTTCACAATGACAACCCACATCAACTCCAATCGACTCTGTAGTCCAAAACGCTGATAAGTCAGTTGCTGGACTCAGTTGCACGATGAGCACTCTATTCTGATACTACTGGTTCAGCTTAGATGCTCCAAACACCACCCATCCAAGTGGTGACTTCCTAAAGATGAAGTTGCCTCGCTGTCTCGTTTCACCTGCGTGCATCATAGCGTGGTCAATTCCTATCAGAAGATCTATTGACCCACTACCTCTGCGTAACTCTCTGGGGTTGAGACCTACTTGACGAGCAAGATTAGCAATGTTCACCTCCTCGATGTCATCATTGATGCACGGTAACCCCACTGCTAATATCTTATGGATAGTCTTCCGATCTACTGAGCTGACTGGCACTCTATACAAGGATGTCGTCACAAATTCCTCTACACAGCCCACCTTGGTAATTGTGATGCTGATTCTCTTTCCTGTCAGTCCCAAGTCTTCAGCGAGCCCTTGGCGGATGATGCTGATCTGGGCTCCTGAATCTAAGAGCACGTTTCCTTCTCTCTTTAGCTGAGAACCTGTGAACCTTGCCCTGATGACGGGTAGCATGGCTTCCGTCCCTCTTAAAAGGGCTACTCCCACTGCATTGTTGTCCATGCTGGGATGTAACACTGGATGATGAAAGAACTTGCATGGTTGCCCCTTGTATGTCTCTGGACAACGTCTCCTTTTGTTACAGGTAGCCATCCGATGCTCTCTACCGGCTTGCTTTAAACAACTATAACAAGCTCGGCTGCTCTTCACCAACTCCAATCTCTCTGCTGTAGACTTATCAAGGAAAGTCTTGCATTGGTCAGTCCAGTGCCCATCCTTACTCTTGCAGATCCAGCAACGATAGTCTTGCTGTCTTTCCTCAAATGTTGTGATCTGATTAACTGCGGATCTGAACTTAGACGCTGCATCATTCCTCACTGGAGCAGATGATCTTATCCTTGCTCTCAACTCGATCTCCATCCACTTCAACAGTGCCTCTAATGTCGCCGTTGTTCCTTCTCCTTGCTTTCGGAACCACATCTGTCGATCTGTGACATAGAGCTTCTTCTCAATGATGGCTAGCATGTGGCTATTGTTCATATCCTCAGCTCTATCTACCTTCTTTAAGGTATTGAAACTTCTGCGTATGAGATTCACAAAGTCACAGAATCTCTCATCTTCTCCATCTTTCAGAGGACGAAATCGGGATACGTCTTCCATAATAGCATCCGCTACCATCCTTGAGTCTCCGTAGAGCAGATCTAGCTGACCCCAAGCAGCTTCGTAGTCTCGTCCTATTCCTCTAACGTGTTGAAGTGGTTTCCCCTTCAAGCAAGACCTCAGGATCATCAAAGCATCTCTCCCATCGTAATGTGGATGTATAACATGCTGAAAATCAGCCTTGAATACATTGTATTCTCTTATGTCCCCTGACAACGTTGGTAACTTGAGCCTCTCCATGTTGAAGCGAGGAGCTTGAGGCCGGTTCGACTCTGATTAAACAACAGTTCTCTGGGAGCTCTCCTCATCTCTCTCTGTTGTTTGTTGAAGCTCTTGCGACGAAGACATCTGAGAGACATAATCCTTCTCTCGGATGCAGAAACATTTCTGGCACTCATCAAGCCATAGCTACTCCTTGCTGAATTCTTCATCGTTCTCAATCTTCTCTGTATAGGCCTCATGTTTGGATTGGAGGTCTACGTAAGCCTGGTTGGCTTGTTTGAAAGCTTCCTTCACCTCTTCCACCGGCCGCTTTTCCTCCATCAGGAAATCCAACACATTCCCCAACCTGGTGAACTTGGCTTTGGTCCCTCTCCTCTTCAACCTTAGGCTTGTCATGTCATCAGTCGACATTGCTTCAGTTCTCGATGTACCGGCTCTGATTAGAAGTTGTATTGACGGTACGCTTGAAAAAGGAAGACAGGGCTAGGTTTCCGCTTTAGTTGTATAAACTCAACGATATGCCAGTTTAGCAATTTTATTCAACCTGAAAGTAGAATAAAATTGCTCAACTGGCATATCGTTGAGTTTATACAACTAAGCGAAAACTTAGCCCTGTCTTCCTTTTTCGAGCGTACCAACTAATATTTAGCTTTGTCACTTGTATGGATGTTCCAACAATGAGAAACTTTGTTTTTCCATCATTAAGCATTAGCTTATGTTGTAACATCGAATAACGGATATATCGTATAGATAATTCTAAAATTGAGATATTATCATCTTCATGTTCTTTATCAGGACTGAAAGAAACTAACTGTGTGTAATCGGTATAACAATGACAAGAAACATTTGGGAAACGCTTTTGAATAATGTTGATCAGATTAATTATTGTATAGAGTGTAAAATGGAAGAGGCCAGGACGTCACCGTTGAGGAACATGGACAATTTTAGATTTTTCATCGTCTAGTATTATATTGTTGTTGTCTGTTAGAAAGATATGATTCAATCCATCTAAGAAACCAATTACAGTCTTATTTTACGTTAGTGATATGTGCTACAAAGTAAGCGTAATTGCTCATATTACTATTTCTATGATATCATCATCATCATCGCCATCATCATCATCATAATTTCATTATCACCATTATCAATATTACCAATATCAATTAAAGCATTATCAATCAACAAAAACAAAAAAAAAATCTTCTTGTTCTTACTTATCTACTTATTCTATTTGTTTTCATGTAATCTTAATATTTTTTTCTAAATACAGGCTAAAGACCAAAAGTTCGGTGTATTGTGGAAGTTGCTGTTTGGTATCGCAGCCTGTTTGTCCCTTGGTAAGAAAGATTTTGACTTCATTATAGGCATCATATTTTTTATGATTTCACGAACGCTGCTGAAAAGTTGGCAGTCAAAATTAGCAAAATAGGAGCGAGTTGTAAAACCTACGTGGCTTCTCAAATAAAAAGTTCACAGTTTGGAAAAATCTCCCTAATGAATGTTTTTAAACTATGTTAAGGGAAAGGAGGGACGGAGGCGGGGAGGAGCAAAGGAGGAAGAGGAAGAAAAGGGGGAGGGGAGAAGTAGGAGGAGGGCTGTACAGATAAATAGGGTAAGGGGAAGAGGAGAGGAAAGAGGGATAATGAGAGAAGGAGAACGACGGAAAGTAGTAGGGGGACGGGGAGTTAGAGGAGGAGGAGGGAGAAGATGTAAATGAGAAGAAAGAGGATGAAGAGGAGGAGGGAGGAGGAGGAAGAATAGGGGAGAAGGTTATGATGATGAAGGAGGAGGGGAGTAGGTAGAAGAGGAATAAGATGGGGAGGAAGGGGGAGGGAGGGAGAGGAGTAGGACGAAGAGCTTTCTATCGATTTTCGTTTTGTTTTATTCCACACAGCCTTGCCTGTTTTATCGGATACGTCCAAGCTGGCGAAAACATCTTGTCCAGGCGAGTTCAGCCTGCAAAGCACCTCGCCGATGTCCTATCAGTGTAAGATGGTGCGACTGTCCGATGGCAGCATGTCGCAGACCGTCCCAAAAGTTTTCTCTTCCCCTTCTTTCGTTGCTGGAAAAAATTCTTGCAACCATATAATATGCAGAATCCCGGGTAAGTATCATGCTTTCTTGATATTATATTTGTTCTCAATTGTCAAATTTTTGCTTCTCACTAATCAATCAATAAAGGTACGGATCATACATTTTAAAAATATATTATAAATATCGACTCCCACTTTCATTATAACTATTATTACTACTACGAATACTATTACAAGATGCAGAGGCTGCGCTCCGGGGGGGGGGGCACAGTGCCCCCCGCTTGTTTAAGTAACCAAAAGTGCCCCTTTTCACATAGGTAAAGTGGCCCTTTAACTTTGTAAGAAGTGCCCCTTTTTACATAGGAAAAGTGCCCCTTTTACTTTGACAAGTGCCCCTATTATTTTGAAAAGTGCCCCTTCCCCTCTCCATCTCTGATATGTGCCCTTTTTATTTTGACACGTACCCCTTTTCCTTTGACAAGTCTTCATTTTCCTTTGCAATAAGTGTCCATTTCCCATTCTCACAGGTGCCTTTTGTAATCGCCAGTAAGTTCCCCTTTTCAGGTACGAGAAGCGCCCGTTTTCACTTTTGTTAACCCTTACTGTACTGGGCTATTTTGAGCACCTCGTGACTGGGGGGGGGGGGGGGCTGGAAGCCCCCCCCCCCTATGATCTCGGCCGTCGAAAGTCCGATGAACACGAAAATGTGCATGTTTGTACACTGTTGGTCATTATGGTGGAATAATTTTTTTTTCTCAATTTATTGAATGATTTTGACAATGATTTATTCCTAACAGATCTAGATAATAGTATACATTCTCAGATTTTATTGAATGACAATTGGGGAGTGTTTGTTTTGCGTGACTGCTAAAGCATGTGTGTGCTACAATGCTAATCAACTAGGGGACCTACGTCCTTAAGTCATATCTGACAGTTATGGGGATTAATACCTCATAAAAGGGCACTAATATAGGACATCGACACGGTTTTGATCCTGGGGGCTCACAGTAACGAGGCCATTGCTTAGCCAATGAATCATGAATGTACGCAGCGGGCGCTAGGGTACGTCGACGCCCCCACAAAAGCAAAAAAACTAAGAAAATGCAATACATTTTCAATAATTCATTGCATTTTGCCCTCACCCACAACATATTTTTTTCTTCTTTGTGGGCATGCCTTGAACCATAATGCATGGCCCTACAGAGGATTTTTTCCTGTTGGGGACTGGGGGGAAATGCAATGAATTATTGTAGAGGTGTCGTGGTCGAGTGGATAAGTCACCGGACTGTGGATCACAAGGTCCGCGGTTCAAGTCCCGCCGCGGCACTAATGTCCTTTGGCAAGACATTGATCTACATTTGCCACTCTCCACCCAGGTGTTAAAATGGGTACCCGGTAGGATGCGAAAGCTAATGTGGTTTGATTAGCAAGTGGCGCTTGTAAAATGGCGACTGGCTGGAATGCTCCCCAGGGAGTGGAGAATGTGCATACCTTGTGTGCGGGTAAGCCTGAATCCGATGACCGGGGTAATAATAATATGTTGTAAAGCGCTGTGATACACATGTATGTCTGTAAGAGCGCTATATAAATGCCAATATTATTATTATTATTATTATTATTGAAAACTTATTGCATTTTCAATAAAATCTGAGAATGTATACTATTATCTAGATCTATTAGGAATAAATCATTGTCAAAATCATTCAATAAATTGGGGTATAAAATAACTATTCCACCATTATGACCAACAGTGTAGATATTTGCGTAAGGAACCCCCCCCCCCCCCATTTCTGGTCACAATTTTTTTTGTTTTTTGGCAGGGGGGGGACCAAGGCTCGCTCGGCCCTCCCCTCGATCCGTGTCTGACTACTACTACTACTACTACTACTAATGCTACTACTACCACTGCAACTAACCACTATTACTAATATCTACCACTAAAATCTATCGAACATTATGGCATCGAGTGCCATTTCTATAGTAGTAGTAGTTGTTGTTGCTTTAGCAGTATATATATATAAGTTGAAGTAGTATAGTAGTTAAGGTGGAAGTGGTAGACGTCTAGAGGTAGTAGTAGTAGAAGAAGTATTGGTAGTAGTAGTAGTAGTAGTATTAGTAGTAGTAGTAGTAGTAGTAGTAGTAGTAGTAGTAGTAGTAGAAGTATTTGTAGTATTAGTAGTATTGGTATAAGTTGGAGTAGTAGAAGTAGTTATGAGTGGTGTGATGTGGTTATGAATATGAGCACATTCTCATAAGTTACAATACTACGAGCGAGCGTAACGAGCGAGCTTTGGGGGAAATTGCTCTCAGTCGCTTGAAATTAGGGGCACGTTTAATGATGAGAGGAAAAGGGGACGCTTATCGAACGGGTTAAGACACTTATTAGAAAAGAAAAGGAGCACGTGTCAAAGTACAAAGGCTATTAGAGGTCAAAATGGGGCACTTCTTACACCTATAAAAAGAGACACGCACCAGGGATGAAAAGGGATTTTATGAGAATGGAAAATGGGCATTTGTTGACGGAAAAGAGGCACCCAACAGATTTTGATAGGGGCATTTATAAGAAGTGAAAAGGGGCATTTATGAAAAAGGGATAGGTTCCTTATTACAAAGGAAAACGAATCATTTATCATTGTTAAAAGGGTAATTATCAGAGGTGCAAAGGCACTTGTGAAATTTGCATTTGTTGACAGAAAAGGGGCACCGATCAGATTTTAATAGGGGCATTTATCGGAGGTGAAAAGGGGTAATTATGAGAAGGGGAAGGGGCACTTATAAGAAGGGAAAAGAGCATTTATTAGGAAGGAAAAGGGAGACGTGTCAAAATAAAAGGGGCATTTATAAGAGACGAAAAAAGCACTTATCAAGAGGGGAAGGGGCACTTGTCAAAGTAAACGAGTATCTCTCAGAATTGAATAGGGTCATTTACAAAAGATGAAAAGGGGCACTTATGAGAATGAAAAGTAACTATTTTCATAAATGAAA